AACCAGCCAAAACACCCATGATGGCATCCCCAAGACTTAGCAGAAACATGGGCAACAAATTGGAGGATATCACCCAATATAGGAAACTTGTGGAAAAGTTGTTATACCTTACCATCACAAGACCAGACATAAGCTTTGCTACACAACAGTTATCCCAGTTCTTAGATTGCCCTACTGATGTACATTTACAAGCTGCTCACAGGATATTGAGGTATGTTAAGGCAGCTCCTGGACAAGGACTTTTTTTTTGCAGCAACATCTTCTTTACAGATCAAAGGTTTTTCAGACTCTGATTGGGCTGCATGCCCTGATACTAGAAGATTTATTACTGGCTTTTGTATGTTCCTAGACTCCACCTTGGTCTCTTGGAAATCAAAGAAGCAGCAAACCATATCCAGAAGTTCCTCTGAAGCAGAATACAGGGCCCTTGCAGCAGCAACATGTGAGATACAATGGCTGATCTATCTCCTACAAGACTTGCAAGTGGACATTGATTCCCCAGCCATGCTATACTGTGACAGTAAGTCTGCAATTGCCATAGCTGAGAACTCAGTTTTCCATGAGAGAACAAAGCACATTGAGATAGATTGCCATCTTGTAAGGGAGAAACTGCATAACCAAATCATCAGATTGCTACATGTCTCAACTATTAACAGGGCCCCCAAATTTTGGGCGCCCCATATTTAAAAATAAAAAATAAAAAATTAGTGTATATATACATCAGCAGCTGCGACTAAGCGACAAACTCAAAACCTATCCTAAATCCCTAATCTAGCGCCTAGCGGCAGATAGAGATTAGAGACTAGAGAGTATCGTTCTATACGGATTACACGTACGTTAATTCTAACATTCTGTAGTGTTAATTTTTCAAATTTCAATTGCATTATTTGCGTTATTGAGGCTAAGCTACTGTAGTGTTAATTCTTCAAATTTGAATTGCATTCTTAATTCTTGGTTGTTTGTATTCTTTATCTAGTAATTTAAATATTCAATTTGGTTGTTTATTTGTATTTTTTTTATCATACAAACTCTCAAGTTATTCAATTTTCTTGATAGGTAATTAAAATTACGTATTGCTTCACAATTCTTGTTTATTGTTTTATTTACATGAATTAATAATTCTAATTTCGCTTTTATTTGACATATATGATCCAAGAAATTGGGATGCCCTTATTCTAAATTAATAGATATTCTTGTGAAAGATGGTCCTAAAAAAGACTTATCAATAAATAAAGGTCCTAAAGATAAATTGTCTAGAAGATTTTTATCTGCATTTTACACAAGATATTTGCCAAATGGAGATGAGTGTGATCGAGATTGGCTTGTATATTCAAAAGAACTTGACAAGGTGTTTTGTTTTTGTTGCAAGATTTTTTTTTTTTTTTTAAAAAGTATACGAAAAGGTGTTTTGGTCAATGAAGGTTTTATGGACTGGACACATCTTGGTCTTAGACTTAAAAAAGCATGAAACGAGTGTAGATCATATAGCTAATATGACAACTTGGATGGAGTTGCGTCTTAGATTACAAAAAAATGAGACAAGTGATAAACGAGTGTAGATCATATAATGATCAAGTATGTTGCAAGACAAATTCAATGGATTAGCTTTAATCTCTATTAAAAAATGAGATTTTGGAAGAAGTTGATATCAAAGGTTTGGTGGATGATTCTGCGTCTAAGTGTGCCGTTGTACATGACGCGTGTCACTTTTTAAATAAAATTTTAAATGTATTTAATTTTCTATACAATATTTATGTTTGAATTTTTTACACAACTTTTTGAAAACCTATTATTTATATATAGAAATAACTTGAAAAAAGGGCCCAAATTAAGATATTGCACAAGACCCCACTTTTTATTGGAACGGCCCTGACTATTAATCAACTAGTTGATGTGTTCACCAAGCCTTTGGCCCTCAGTACCTACTGCAATTTCATCTCCAAGTTGGGCCTACACTCCATGTATACTCCAGCTTGTGGGGGGTGTCAACAGATGGGGGTTCACCAGCTCAGCAAACTGTTTCATAACTAACTTTTGTAATTAGCTTAGTTAGTTTTTTCCCTCCTAAACCATCTAACTGCTTTCTTGTATCCAATATAGATAGCACAGTGTATTGCCTTGATGAATACAGAGAGAATTCTTTTTCTTTTCAATTCCAGTTCATCACTTTCATCCCTTTTGTGCTGCTTCTCTGACAAGTACATAGCTTGATCCTGTGTAAATGCTAAGGAAGCTAAAGTATGCGCATGTAAATTAACCTGTCTAGAGATATAACTTAAAGAAATACGATTAATGTATAAAGACACAAGTGTTCTGCATTGATCAACTGTGACCCCAACATACGAATGAATTGGTGTGTCATGGTGCCGCATAGTTGTAGTCAATACTATGCAATCCGTGAGTAAACTTACTGATGTGTTGTTCCGTTCAAGCAGCCAAGACAGTGTCGCCTCCTTATACGCCTGCGCCTCCACCATAAGTGGTGAGAAACAAATATGTAATTTGCCATTTTTTACTGCCACAAATGAGCCGTCTTGCGCTACTAGTAATATGACGTAAACAGGCCTTTACATTTCCATCCAAGAAAATTAAATTAAAAATACAAAATTGTCCTTTTTATGTTAGTGTTGTTTTAACTTCTGTCCAAAATAACTTCATCTATCAAAATAAGAACTAAATATATATAATACTCTATGTTGAGTTGATTGGGTGTTGGACCCAAGGAATGCCAAGAGATTAGCACTTTGTGTTAAACTACGTAATGAAAGAGATTTCCCTTCAAAAAAAAAAAAAGTAATAAAGAGATTTGATAAGCAAAAGTGACAAAAATAATAGCAAACTAAGGATCTTTGTTGTAGTTTTAGTCGATTAATTACAAGATAAATGTAAGTTTTGTCCCTAATTAATATGGTATTGCAATAGTACTCTTAATTAGTTATCAAGGTAATATATTTAGTCTTTCTTCTTAAGAATGTCATTATTTTAAATAGAAAAATTCACATGTTTTTCCATCATGAGTTGTAATCAAGGGCAAGTTAACAAATACTCACATTACAAATATCTTTTAAAAAAAAAGGAAAAAAAAAAAAAAAAAAAAAAAAAAAAAAAAAAAAAAAAAAGATAGAATCTCTCTTCACTATCCAAAATCAACTCAAACATTCATGAAGATCATTCTTAGTCTTTAGTAGGAATTGAAGATGTGTTCCATCTTTAAAAAAAAAAAAAAAGTTAAATTATACATTTATTATTTATATCTTATATGTTTAATATACCACTCACATGCGCAGATTGATTATCCATGAAATTAATTGCACAAATATTTAATTATATATTCAAATATTATAATTCAATTCCAACATTGTTTTTTCTTCTTATTATTATTGTGATCATTACAAAATAATCTTTTTAAAATTAGTAGTATAATATTAAAACTGGAGACATTTGTGTTAACATACCATTTCCCAATATGCAAGCTTAGCAAAAGGCTAGATTTGGAAGGGCCAATCACCGTTTCATTTATCATTTGTAGTTGGGGGTCTGAGTCTATATATTATACATTTATACCTATATAATTAAGAGATCAAAAACATGATTTTCCTTAAGTTATATTTTCAAAACACTTTTAACCCTATAAATAGGTTAGAGTGTTGATGTGTATGAGACATATAACTTTTTGTGTATTGTGAGGCACTATTGTTAATCAATTATTGATTGGTTGTGCAAGATTTATAACTCAATTCAACATTAAAAAGTTTAACCCCATACGTAATGGCTCCTGCCTCATTGCTCATACCTTGAAAATTAGTGAAAGGAGTAAATTACGTGATATGTTCCAACTAAACTATATGTTCCCAAATACTTGTATTTCAACGTTTCAAATTTTTCACATTGCAGCAAAGTTTATAAATTTATTTTGAAATAGTTTACTAATTGAGGTGTGTTTAAGGCTTATAACTAAACATTCTAGAGTCCATAGTAATATGTAACTACCATCGTTGGATATAATTGTTGCTCTTTAATTTAGATGATGATCAACAGCTATTACTAGTCTTGGTCATCAATTGCTAAATACTTACTAAGATAGTCACATTTTATATGAGCTTTCTAGTTTATGGAGTTATTTTTACTTCAATTTTGATACTAATAAGTCTAATATTTGAAAAAGAAATTGGCATTATCCCACGAATGAACAAAAAATAAATTAAATAAAAATCTAAAAAATTTGAAAATTGTAATAATAAAAACTTAATAAAACTCTTTTCACGAGTTTGTTTGTTGTTTTAACGTTCAACAAACCAGCTGAAACACGCTCTGGTTAGGTCCTCTGGCTCTCAATCTGTACGTCTGACTTGGGAGGTCCCCCCACCCAAAAAAAAAAAAATAATTAAATTCAATTAATAATGTAACACATAAGTTCATAATGTTTAAGGTAAATTAATATTTAGTAGTGAATTGTGTGATTTTCTATTTAAAATATTAATGGCATATATATATAGTAGATGGCTAACGTTACTCACAACAAGAACGGAGAGGAAGTATTTGCGTGATTTGGAGACAATTAAGAGATTTGTATATTTAGCCGCTTAAAAAAATGCTTTATTAATGATTGTTGATGCATAATCACAATTTTTTTTTATTAATAAAGCAATATTTTTTATGAAGAAAAAAGGGAAATAATTTATTAAGGCATAATCACCAAATCAGAAATACAAGGAAGGGTCAAAACCCAAACCTCTCCACCAAACTAAGAACTTGAAGCTCTTGATAAAACATGAGCTACATGATTCACTTATTGAAGAACATATGTAACACGAACATTGCCAACGGACTTAACCAGGAATTTACAGTCAGACAGTTGACTTAAAAATCATAATGTTCCAAATTCGACTCTCCCTGTGAAGTTATCTATTAACCTTCTTGGTTTGAACCGGTCAACTATCAGCAACCTTGGCTTATTTATGATCCTTTACCCGATAGCTAGGATCACAAGGCTTTTTATAGTAGTTGGCCAAGAAGTTAAAAGAGGTAATAATTAAGTGGTATAAGCTAAGTATGTGTGGATACATAATATGATGCATAACTCTTAATTAGCATGCCCTAACTGACCACAAAAATTGCCGGGTGACAAAAGAATTTAAATGGTGCATTACTTGGGAGGGTGAAAAGCATGGACAATTGTTTAATCAAAATCAATATATACTACGTTAATGCATGCAATTTCGCGGCAGATAGATTTTTCAAAACAAAATCATGCATATGGTGAGTTTTCCCCTTAGGCCTTTCCTCCATTTTCATAACTCCAAAGCCTCCTTCGGATGACACTCTAATAAGATTTTAGATCCCTCTTGGCAAGATATGTGTGACCATTTTAATATTTGAACCTATTATAATATATTTCTACTCCCTTTATATCCCTTCCTCTTCTCTTCCTCTTGATCCGATCTTTATCTTCTGGGAAGGTAAAAGATGTCGGGTGGTTTGGATCTCACGGGGTGCAAGAAGAGGAAGAGAAGTGAAAGAGTTTATAAATTCAAGACATTTGGCGAGCATGGCTGCCCGACAGGATTTGACAGCCATAACTTCGAGGAAAACGTTAGGGCTTTCTTGGAATACGCGAAGCCAGAGAATGGATTGTGTGGGGCCATGCCGAGCTGGTCGTTTCAGCTCGAAGTCCACCGCCACCCGCCGTCGTACGTCTTCCTCTTTGTGGTGGAGGAACCAATTGAGCTATCCCTCAACCCCAAGTGCAAGCATTGCCAATATATAGGTATGCATGCATGCGAGTATATATACTTTAGTGGTAAGTAATTACGTAAACTTACTACTTAGAAAGAAAATCACTTTAATTTGTTGTTAGGTAAGATTTTGGTGGTGGACACTCTTTATCAATCTCCTAAAAGAACCTCGTGCTAGCATTCAAGCTAGGATTGGCGCATACATTATTATTAACGTTACTAATTTTGTGTGAAATTAAATTAAGTGATTGGATTGTTGATTAGGATGGGGTGACCATCTAATTTGCAACAAGAAATACCATTTTGTGTTCCCGTCAAAGGACACAATGGCGGCTTGTTTCAGCTTCTGTCAGCGGCAAAGCAGCAGTAACTTGTACGGTGGTGGCGCCGCCACGAATCCGACGACGTCGGAGATCCAACGGCCGAATGTGATGATGATTGAGTTGGAAGGGCATACGATGCACGGCGTTTTCCATTGCAATGGGTTTGGGCATTTGCTATGCATCAATGGCTTGGAGACTGGCTCCAATTTGGCTGGCCATCATATCATGGACTTTTGGGATCGCTTGTGCACCGGATTACATGCCAGGTTAGTATATACTGACTCTGTTACGATGTAATATTATCTGTTCATAGCTACTTTCTCAACCTACTGAAATGGAGTATAGGAGTGTGAGTTTGAAAGATAGCTCGGAGAAGAGGGGGATGGATCTAAGGCTGCTATACGCGGTGGGATATGGCGAGGCGTGGTTCGGGAGGTGGGGGTACAAGTTCGGGCATGGCAGCTTCGCGGTGAACCACCAAATGTATGAGACCGCCGTCCAAACCGTGCAAAACATACCGCTAACCCTACTGGCTCATCACTCCCCAAATCAACATGAATTGCTCATCATACTCTCAAGGTACCAAATCCTCTCCGGCCATTCTTTGGGCACTCTTCATGACGCTTTCCACTTCATGCTGGAACTCAAATCCCGCATCCCTAAAGATGAAACCAATCTTGGAGCTTGCTATCCGGGTAATATAATTAACTCTTTTTCATTTTAACTAGACTAGTTAGTCTGTATTTGGAACTTAATTAATGTTATTGTGTATTTAGGGCTGTTGGTGGTGGACAGCACTTGTAGATGGTCACCCAAACGAGTGGAAATGGCTATAAGGGTGATTGTGGAGGCCTTGAAACGAGCCGATTACCGGTGGGTTTCTCGGCAGCAAGTTCGGGATGCAGCTCGTAGCTACATAGGTGACACTGGGTTGTTGGACTTTGTCCTTAAATCTCTAGGTAACCACATAGTTGGCAAGTACCTAGTACGACGATGTCTGAACCCGGTGACCAAAGTGTTGGAGTATTGTTTGGAGGACATCTCTAATGCATTTCCTAAACACGAAGAAATTCAGGGTGGAGTTAGGGTGAGGAATGACTCACAATTACAAATGAAACCTAGGTATAAAATCACTAGGGTTCAGCTCATGAAGGATGTGCAATTCCTGTACAAGCATATTCTCACGGAAGAAAACGGGGCAGGGGTTGGGGTTTTCGCCACCATCCCGGCAGCATCTAGGGTGATTTTGGACGCCAAGTACTTTCTTAAGGACTACACTACCCCAAAGCTATTGGAAACATCTGATAATAAGTTGGTTGTATGGTGTGCTATAAAGCTCGGGTTCGACCAAGAAAGAGTAGTGACACCGTACGAGTGCATGGTACTAGGAAAGGGTACAACGTTTGATGAACTAAGGCTCGAGGTGGAGAAGACCTTTAGGGAGATGTACTGGGGGCTAAGGGTGAACAACTTCGTGGCAAACTTAAACATCGCCCCCAACGGGTGTGACTCCGTGTTGGAGGCCATCAAAGAGGGGAGCAACTGCAAGTTGGTGTTCGAGGGGTTTGTGGGTGGAGAGAATGTGGACTATGGAGGGATGTTCGAAGGGATAGACAAGAGTAGCATTATTGTGGACTGCCCTTGCGGGACTAGAGACGAGGACGATGGTGAGAGAATGGTGTGTTGCGATATATGTGAGGTTTGGCAGCACACTCGCTGCGTTCACATCCCAAACAACCAACCAATTCCCGATATATTTCTGTGCACCAAGTGCGAGCAACATATATTGCGTTTCCCTTCTCTGCCATAGATAAATCTCGTAAAAAGAAATAAGGGTGCAAGAGGTTCTTACTTGTGAATGTTAGAGTTCATACTAGCATCCACGTTGTAAAACATCATAGTAACATCCTCTGCTTGTTCTGAATAAACGGCAAAGTTACATTATTTCACTAATGAAGACAAGACGGTAACAGTTGTATGTAATATTGTAATGTGATCGATCATATAATCTGCGCCTCTGCAACAAACAAACAAACAAATGCCATTCAAAAACATTGAAGTATATTTGAAGCTATTTCTAGAAACTAATGGGGGCAAAACGAATAAATGAGGACATAAATTGTAGCTTTCCCAGAAAATAAATGAAAAAAAAAAAAAAATAGAAGCATTTACTTACATTTCAAGTATGACAGCGGAGCTGAGCTAGGCTAACAGCAATTTTAGCACCAATAAGAGCATTGTTTTTCACAAGTGCAATATCTGGAACTTGTTAAGGAAATTTGAAAATGAAACAGGATTAATAGATTAAAGCATTTTATTAATTGATGTAGGTAAAGAACATCTAGAGTCCAAATTCCCAAGAAACATTTAGCTGCACTGTCACTTCTTGATTCAATCGCAGGAAAGGAAAAAAAAAAAAAAAATCATCAAACATCAGGATGAAGGATACTAGAAGCTAGAGAAGCTCCTCCAGTTAATTCATTTACTCTAGCCAGCAGGAATGGGGTTTGAGCATTTCCTGTTATGTTTTTCTCCCTGGGATTCGCAGTAAAATATCATATTCACATGTCAACAAATACAGAATATAAGTAATACAATGATAGGATGCCAACAACTCTACCAATGAAAGGAACTTATTTGATACTTACTCAGATTCTAGAAGAGCTCTTTGTATTGCAGATTCAATTAAGCTTCCTGAAGCAGAATGTTCTTTTGGGATAGGGACTGCTATTATGATCCCAGTTTGAAGCCCAAGTTTAATGTTTGCATCTGTAAGAAACAGTTAAAAAAATTTAAGCAAAAATATGCAATCATTCATGCATAGTTAAGTAAATATGACACATCAACTGAGTTCAATATTGCTTGCCAATTAGTCGAGCACAGTCTTCTGGCGTATCTACCCGACAAGGTGCCTGAAATTTCATAAAACAAGTGAATAGTTAGTTAGAATAGATGCAAATATGTTGACAAAAGTAAGAATATCTTGAAGAAAGATGGCTGCAACCCAAAATGGATTAGTTATGATTGTTTTCAGTGCATTTCAATATTCATTGACCAATCACAGAAAAAAAAATAAAAATTGAACATTTTATTTCAACTACATCATAAGATATAATGTACAATGGGTCAAACTTATGAACCTTGCAGCCGCTGGCTTCTGTAAAGAAAGCAGGAAATTCATTGGTCTGATAAGCAGCAACACAAACCCCTTGAGTTTCCTACAGTTGAGAATGAAAATAAAAGGTGAACCTAAAAGAATATTGGTCTTAAATAGCTCTTTACTAAGAAATACTAACCAAATACTCGAGAGTTCTTGGAATATCTAATATTGACTTCACACCAGCTGAGATTACAGTTACAGGAGTCCTTCCAAGCTCAGTAAGGTCAGAAGATACATCCATTGCTGTATAAAACAAATGTCATAAAGGGAATAAAGAACTAGAATACTAAATACATAACAAAGTTCCTACACCTTGACTTTTTTTCTGGTGCAACAGCTCATATAACTAATGAGATTCAAGATTTGGAATGGAAATATCAAATGAAGAGAAAGTCATAGTAGAGCTCTAAGCCATTTAATGTCACAATAGAACCTTTTCGACAACAATTAATAGTCTTAAAATTGAAGTGAAGATGATAAAGCTGTAACATGATATACTCAAACTAAAAAAAATATTACAATTCTGGTTTGACTACAGATAAAATTAAGAATACTGTTCATAGAGTCAAAATTTCACAAATGCAGTGCACAACTGCACACTTACTATTCTCTCCATCTCTATGCACTCCTCCAACACCACCAGTTACAAATATAGGAATCCCAGCCTGCAGAAATGCTATTTAATGATTAGTGAGAAAATTCCCGCAACCTAGATGTAAAAATTGGCAATGTATCACAGAGAGGCAGTAAGGAGTGGATCACCATAGAAGCAAAAAACATTGTTGCAGAAACAGTAGTTGCACCATTTCCTTTAGTAGCCACCTAAGGAGAAAACCAATCAGCAACTTCAGAAAAGTTAGAGAATGTAATACTTTAGAGATTAAAGCAACTTTAGCTTGTCCAAGAATTTAACTTCAATTATGTGTTTGGGTTTTGCATAACATGAATAGACTTAATTATGTTCCAAACTCTCTTAGAAGTGCAAAAAAAAAGATATGTTGCATTCAAACTTTTGTTGCAGAGTATATTTGCCTACCTTCCTATCTATTAGATTATGCCTTTAGGTACTCTAATTCAAATTAATTGGCAAGCTTTATGTAGTTCAACGTGTTGTTTGATTTGCAAGCTTTTAGACAACCATGGTTTTCTGAAGCTTGTATCTTAACTTTCATTCTTTAAATAATAATAATAATGATAATAATAATGAATAAATCAACTAATTAAAATTTAAGGCAGGTTTAGAACATGATTGATACATCACATTAAAATTTTTCATTTTGAGATTAAGTTATCACACTTCTAAGAAAATAGTTCCTCCATACAATCAGTAATAACTAAATGTTACAACAAAACTAATAGTACACAAAGCAAATTCCATATATACATGTGTCTGTTAAAGAGCTTAAATTTCACTTACAACATGTGCAATATCTCTACGAGCGGTCTTTCGAGCTTTGCTTCCTAGGATTGCCAGCCTCTCCAATTCTTCCATACTCAAACCTAATAGAAGAGAAGCCATTAAAACCTTTTGGTAGTAACTATATTTGTCCAAAACCCAGACTAAATATCTAAGATGGGTAACTAATATCAGAAGCAACAAGATGAATTAAATAAAACTAATAAAGGTGAAGTTTCCTTAAATTAAATAAATGTAGAAATGGAAGCATGGTTCATTTATTCAGGCAACTCCTTTCTATGTCCAACCAAGTCTTTCCCTCTTGTAAACTAGAGAAAGTAGAGAGATACATCCACCACCCGACCCACTCTTATAATTTCACCACCCACCCCTCCCCACAACAAGTATACATTTTTAAAAACCTGCATCTGCTCCATCAGGTTCAAGTACCCACCATGAATACCTACTATTTTCCATCTTAATAAATAAATTAGAAGATTAATCAAATATAAAATAAATACATAAATTAAAGCCTAATTGTTAGAAAGCATAGAGCTATATCTTAGAATAATTAATAGGCTTGATAATCCAGCAAAAATATCTTTCTTGGTTGCATGAAATTGAACAAGTATTGCTGACAGATATTTCACATCTTTTGCAATCCACTATTCCCCCACACTTAGGGCAACCATATTTAAAATTGTTGCATGGGATCAAGATGCATAAGCTGTTTAGGAGGGGGGGATGGAGGAAGAAGATATTTTGACAGGACTATCTGGAGACATATTCTGAAGTAGCAATTTTCCTTAACTTACCAAACACTCAATGATTCTCAGTTGAGATACAGGGTTTGATGAAACAATTGGCATTATTTATTGGCAAACTCCAGTTTTTTCTTTAGCCACTCTAACTAGATGGACAATAACACACTAAACAATCTACATTTGGCAAAGATATAAGATTGGGAAGAAAACAACTATAATGCACAAGCTTGCAAATCAAGGCAGTAAATTTTTTTAGGAATAAGGGCCAAATTGGCCACTGAACCGTAACGTTAAAGTGCAATCAGGCCACTGGACCTAAAAAAAGTGCAATTACTCCCCTCAACGCCTCAAATACCTCCAATTTTACCTGATAGCCGGTTGTTAGCCCTTCCATCCGGTTGATTGTTGAGCTGGATGATTACATGGCTTTATTTATTATTTTGCTTTAATTTCTTTTGTTTTCCTTCCTTCCAGCGTGTAAGAAACAAACCACTCATATTTTCTTCTTCATTTTCTCTTCTTTCTACAACCCTAACCGCATCCCCTACCGGCCAACTCCGACGGCCAACCACCGACACGACCGGCGACTGTGCAACTGCCGACGGTGCTTCTGCATGGGCTGCTTCTGGGCCGTCCTGATCGATGATATACATGTTCTCATGGATTTCCATGGCAACAGGTAATACAAAAGCTTTAATGATCTCAAAAAATGCCTTTATCATGTATCTAAAATCTGTGCTAACTTCATAACATTAACCTTAACATTAATCAACATCATTATTCAATAATCTAATTAACCTTTAATTACCTTACTAACACAGTAATTAGTCCTAATCCACCTTTAATACATCTTCTTCTTCCTTTGCCTTGCCGAACTCGAACCAGTGACACCCTTCAACACCACCATCAATCCAACATCTTCCTTCCAGCTCAACAACACCACCGCCCACTGCCCAGGAGGAGAAATCCATCCAGCCACCGCTACCGCCACCAGATTCCGCCGGGAGAAGGGAAGACCGGAGAAGGGACCAATGCCCGTCGCTGCTCACCGCCGGAAACAGGAGAATGAGAGAGAAGGCTTCGCCAGAACTGCCCTGCCATCGCCGGCGCTATCTTCTACGTCATCTACCGCCCCCAGTGCCCCGCATTCTCCGTCTCCTCCCTCAAGGTCTCCTAATTCAACCCCACCACCGTCGCCGCCGACACCACCCACCTCACCGCCAAGCTCAACCTAACCCTCTCTGCCAAATATCATAACAAGAAATTGATCTACACCGCCGACGACACCACGCACCTCACCACCTTCGCCTCCCAGGTAACCCTAGCCAATAATCCACTCATCCCTCTCGCTCACCTCCCAAGTTCTCGATGCCGATTCCGTTTCCAAACTCAAATCAGATCTGAAGAGAAGACGCGGATTGCCCATCAAGATCGTCATGGACACCATGGTTGTCCTGATGCTTGAGAAATTGAAGAAAAAGAAGAGAAAGGTTGTGGTTGTGGTCGTCCGAACTCAAAGTTTGACTCGCTGA